GTATGACACTGCTAAAGGAAAGAGGCTAGTAGTTCAAGTCCAACAGCTATTCTGCAGGAGCTAGCTGAGGCAGTAGCTTTCATACACATTTACAGCCACAGAAACACTGTCTAGCAGTACAGTACTACCGTTCTATAAGGCCATTCACTGTGAGTCAGAATCAGCTCGATGGCAGTGGGGTTTTTTTAATCACCAGCAGAGTTTATCCACAATCAAGATGTCATATTTCATCATGCCCATACCCTTGAAACTACAATTATAGTTAATTCATAAAATAGCTGTTAAGGATAAATAAAATATACTATATAACCGTATCGAGAGAAAGACAGGCTTTCTACTCCCATAAGAGTTCATGTCGTACAGATAGGAACTGGAAACACAGGGAAACCAGGCGGATGATCCCTTCAGGACCAGTGGTGTGAGTGGCGATACCAGAGGGAGGAGGGAGAGTGGGTTGGAAAGAGGGAACCAATTACAAGGATCTATATGTGACCTCCTTCCTGGGGGACGGAAAACAGAAAAGTGGGTGAAGGGAGATGTCAGACAGGGCAGGATATGACAAAATAAACAATCTATAAATTATCAAGGGCTTATGAGGGAGGGGGGAGTGGGGAGGGAGGGGGAAAAAATGAGGAGCTGATGCCGGGGACTTAAGTGGAGAGCAAATGTTTTGAGAATGACGAGGGCAATGAATGTACAAATGTGCTTTACACAATTGATGTATGTATGGATTGTGATAAGAGTCGCATGAGCCCCTAATAAAACAATTAAAAAAAAAAAGAGTGCATGTCTCAAAAACCCACAGGGGAAGTTCTACCCTCACCTATAGGGTTGCTATGAATTGGAATTGACTAGATGGCAGTGAATTTGGTTTACGTTTTATGTAAACATATATTATATGTTTTACACTGGGTAAATCTGCTGTACAAGATATCTTTAAAATGTTGGAAAGCAAAAAAAAAAAAAAGTTGAAAAGCAACTAAGGCTTGCGTGGTCCAAGCCATGGTATTTTCAATTGCTCTTATGTATGTGAAAGTTGCACTGTACAGTATAAGGAAGACCAGAAAAAACGATGCACTTCAACTGTGGTGTCAGTGAAGAATATTGAAGTGTCATGGACTGCCAAAAGAACAAAAGGTCTGTCTTAGAAGAAGTACAACCAGGACTCTCCTTAGTAAGACCAATGGTTCTCAACCTTTCTAATGCCGTGACCCTTTAATACAGTTCCTTATGTTGTGGTGACCCCCCACCCCCCCCCAACCATAAAATTATTTTTGTTGCTACTTCATAACTGTAATTTTGCTAGTGTTATGAATCGGGTGACAGCTGTGAAAGGGTCATTCGACCCCAAAGGGGTCTCGACCCACAGGTTGAGAACCGCTGCCTTAGATGGGGAGCCCTCATCTAACGTACTTCGGACACGTTCTCGGGAGAGAGGAGGGCCTGAAGAAGGGCATCACGCTCGGTGAAGTGTAAGGTCAGTGAAATAAGGAAGGCCCTCAACAAGATGGACTGACAGAGGCTGCAGCAATGCGCTCACACACACAATTGTGAGGGTGGTGCCGGCGGCTGTTCCATTCGATTGTACGAAGGGTCACTACAGTCCAAACCCACTCGATGGCACCTAACAACACAAGCTGAACTCAGAGCCATGGAGTCAACGCCAACTCACAGCAACCCTATAGGACAGGGTAAAATGGCCCTTGGGTTCCTGAGACTGTAACTCTTTATAGGCTTTTTGTAAAAAGCCTTCTCTGTCTCCAGAGGAGCAGCTAGTAGTTTTGAACTATAGAACTTGTAGTTAGGACCCCAAAGCATAATGTATGGTTTAATTTCTGAACTTTGAACCCTATTCCATTGATTTATTTTTATTAGCTACTTCATTTATATATGATAAAATGAGATAATATATCTGATTAAGGCTTAATATCTGGAATATTTAAAGAACTCAAACAAAAAGCCCAATTTAAAAATGGGCAGAGGATTTGAATAGACAAAGAAGATACACAAATGACCAACTCACACTTCAAAATACGCCATAAGTCATTTATCAGTTGTCTTCAGGTTAATTCTAACTCCTGCAACCCATGTATCTCAGAACAACTGTGCATCACAGGATTTTCAATGGCTGGATTTTTGGTTTTTGTTTTTTTCCAGATCATCCAAGTCTTTACTCTGAGGCACCTCTGTAAGGATTTGAATCTCCAACTTTTCAATAGGCAGTAAGCATGCTAACCATTTTTAACGACAATGAGCTATCACTTCCCCACCAAGATGGCTATGATTTAAATCAATATTAATACTTATTTTAAAATACTTATACTTATGGGGAAACAAATCCTGTCAAGGATGTATTGAAATTGGATCCCTCACTCACTGCTGCTAGAACTGTAAAGTAGTACAGCTACTGTTAAAAAGAGTTTGGAAGTCAAACTCAAAAAGTCAAATAAAGAATTACCCTATGACTTAGCAATGTCATTCTTAGGTATATGCCTCAAAGACTTGTAAGCAAGGGCTCAAATACCAGTTTCACTGCATCATTATTCACAATAACTAAAAGATGGAAATAACCCAAGTGTCCATCAATAGATGGATAAAAATGGAATATTACTCTGCCATAAAGTGAAATGAATCCCTGATACATGCTGCAACATGAATGAACCTAGAAAACATTGTGCTAAGTGAAATAAGTCAGTCCGGAAAGGACAAATACAGATGTACATATTTATATGTTCCACATATATACCTGGAATAAGAAACTACATTGAGACCAAAGTTCATTAGAGGTTACCAGTGCTGAGAGGAAGGGGAAAAGAGCGAATACATACTTGAGAGCACTGAGTCTCTGTTAAGGGTGATGGAAAATTTCGGATTGTTGCACAATTGGTTGAACATAATTAATACCACTGAATTGTAAAAAAAAATGTTCGACGGGAAATTTACTATACATTTTATTTTAAAAGATTCCTCTTTTTAAACTTCACTCTTAACCCTTTCAAAAACTTTTTAAAAAATGTATTACGATAGTACAGGAAAGACTGCATCATTAGATAAGCCATAACTAGCCTATAGAACGCAGACAAGCCACCCTAATAAAGCAACCCATGTGATTTCCTGCCTTGAAGTGAATGACAACAAATCCTTCCAATTTTCCCTCAGGAAAAATCCTTGCATGTAAAATGATCAGAATTGTAGGATGAGGAATGCATCTCTACAGGAATATCTCCTTTTCCTCCAACATTTTTGTGTTTTTCCTTTTGCTCCATAAAACTTATTTTTTTAAAAACATTTTATTGCATTTTGGGCAAAAGTTTACGCAGCAAAGTTGAATCCCATTCAATAATTCAGACACAAACCCTTCTGCGACATTACAGTATGTCAGTACTCCTACTATTTTCACCCCACCTGCCCAGTTACATGCTTTCAGTTTCCATGCTCTTCCTTGCTACCTCTTTATTTTTAGGTTAATGTTGCCCATTTTGACCCCAATAATTGACTATTTAAAGGAGCACATTCCTAAAGGTGTTGTTTACTTCATAAGCCTATCGATGATTTAGCCGGCAGGTGGCCAGAGGCTCCTGTTCCAGGTTGAGGGTGCTGTGGCGGTGGTTTCAGGGGTTCCTCTAGTCTCTACCAGTCTAGAAAGCCTGGCCTTTTGTACGAATTAAATCCTACATTTTTCTCCAAATCTAACTGGGACCTGGTTAAGAAGGACTGGTAGGGGAACCAGGCACTCGTTCTTCTGGCAGCAGATGAGGTTCAGTGGGCCATAGTTCTGCAGACTTAATTTTCCCTTGAATCTTCCATTCCCTCCACTCACCCAATAAAACCTCCACTCTAAATGGCTTATTCCTCAGATTTTTCCTTCCACCATATACACTTGCCACAATTTTTCCCACTGATGTAGAGAATATAAGATGCATTTTTAAAATTTTTTTATTTAATTTTTAAAAATCATTTTATTAGGGGCTCATACAATTCTTATCACAATCCGTACATACATCAATGTGTAAAGCACATTTGTACATTCATTGCCCTCATCATTCTCAAAACATTTGCTCACCACCTAAGCCCCTGCATCAGCTCCTCATTTTTCCCCTCTCTTCTCCCTCCCCGCTCCCCCCTCCCTTATGAACCCTTGACAATTTTCAAATTATATTTTGTCATATCTTGCCCTGTCCGACGTCTCCCTTCACCCACTTTTCTGTTGTCCGTCCACAATTTTTTTTTAATTTAAATCATTCTTTTCTGGAGAAACTTTCAAGTTGCCTAAAATGATGTATAATCACTTTTTTTTAATCACTTTTCTTACAATGTACCTCATACTTTTTAAACAGCACCATAAAAGCATAAGGCCATCTTAAAAGCAGTAACAGCTATAATTTTTCTACGACTCTGAAACTGTACTACATGCAAAACTAATATGATTGAACGATTAAATTGTCCAATTTTTGAAGTATATGCCAATAAACCTTTTTAAAAAATAAAAATGATACCACATAAAGATCAAACAGTAATACTATTATCAAAAGGTGGATATTAGACAGTGTCCTTTGTTTCTCTACTGATTTTGTATGATCACAAGAGATTTTAAACACCATTTCCGGGCTTTTTTTTTTTCACTTGTAAATAAATTAGTTGCTAACCTGAATTTACTTTGTTTCATGCTGAGAAAAGTAGGATGTTGATATGGTGTTTTGAGCACCCCTCAAAAAAAAGAAAGGTGGCGTGTTTACCAGCCCCACCCCCAGCCCCCCGCTGTTTATCTGCGGGGTTTTTCTGGCATTAAAAAAATAATTGTTTCAGCGGTGCTCTTGCCTGTTATTAAACACTCATTTAAAAAAGAATACAAGGGTTGCAAAGAAGACTATGCAGATCTCCTAAATCAAGGTGGGTCGCCGGCTTTCCGCTTCTCCTAAAATGAATGCACCCATCGCGTGTATCTGACCCCGGGGCCGCGTGCGGCCGCGCGACGGCCCCCCCACGGCCTGCCATTTCACCTTCCTGGCCTGGAAACGGGCTCACGTTCTGGTTTCAGCCACTAGAGGGGGATGACTTGGACTGGCCACAGGGCAGACATTTCCAACCCGCTGACGCGTGAAGGGAACGGTGGTGACCGGGAGGCTCGGCTTCGTCCTCACGGATGCAAAATGGCCGCAAGCTCCGCGGGCGGGGTCTCGGGCGGGGATCCTACCAGACTGGTGGCCAGACCCTGTCCACCCGGAGCCAAGCCGCTCAGCGGCGCCCACCGCCTGGGCAGCTGCCGGCATGGCGCGTTTGCACCGAAAGCCCAGGCGAGGGCCTGGAGCGGACGGCGGCGCACGAGAACAAGTTCGCCATTGTGCGCATCCCCAGCCGCCGCCTCAGCTAGAGGGCGCCACCACCGAGGCCCGGCCCGCGGAGGGCGGGGCTGCGGAGGGCGGGGCTGCGGAGGAGGGCGGGACTTTGGAGGAAGGCGGGGCGACGGCGGAGGGCGGGAGCCCGGGGGAAGAAAGGGGCGGGGCCGACTCGGCCCGGAAGCCTCGGAACCGCGGGGCTACCTCCCTCCCTCAGACTCCCTCTTCGGGCGAGATAGGGGTCAAGATGGAGGTTGAACCGCCCCCACGAGGAGTTGCCCCGAGCACCCAGGGTCGCTTTGCACAAGCGAGGCCGGCCGCTCCCTTGGAGGGTCTTACCTGAGCTTTCCCATTCTTTATCCTCCGCCATCTTGTTGCGGAGCCCGTCGCCCGGGAGACGCCTAGCGCGGCTCCCCCACCCCCTCCAGCGCCCGCGGCGAGCCTAGGTGGGAGGATGGGCCGCTGCGAATCCTGAGGGAGGGAGCCCGCGGGGAGCGAGGCCCCAACGGGAAGTGCACCTAGCGGGCCTCACTCGTTCCCGCCATCGGCGATTAGCGCCCGGGCAACTAGGAGCCGCCTCTGCCCCCGGCCTTGCGGCCCTCCCTGCCGAGCGCCTAGGCCTGGGTCTCGACTCCCCGTCCTCGGAGAACACCGGGCTTGCGAGCCTTCCCGGCTTTTCTGCGGGTCCATCTGGAAACATCGCCCACTCTGCACCCCCCACCCCGCCCCCGCCTGTGCAGCTGGTGCGACGTGGCGATGCTCGAGTTTTTACTGCAGTTTTTCAAACGTAGCCTAAGAACTGGGTGAAAATCCGGACTCCAAGGGTGTAGCCGCCAAACCCCCAACGCAGACGTCGAGCCCCGAGGCTGGGGAGCGGCGAGGGCGGGCTCCCCACTCCTGCCCTGCGGGTCCCCTCCGCCCGGTCTCTCTCCCAGCAAAAGCGGCCGCGCGGCCTGGAACTGGAGCTAAAACGGAAACCCGCGCCGGTGCAAGAGGAAATCAGAGCCATTAAACTATTATTACTACGGGAGAGGAATCGCTGTAGAAAAACATGTGTAACAGCCGCGCAAACAGTGCGTCGTCAAGGTTGCAATTTGATACAAAATAGAAGGTTCTCCTAGCAACAGAAAGGTCTCCGTGTTGGGCCAGCCTGACGTACATTGCAATGATCCTCCCTGTGAAACTTGACATGACTTCCGGTTAAAGTTAACAAAAACAAGTTCTCCATCCCTTTCTGAGACGTTGCAGCTGTAGCACGTTGTCAGTTTTGGGATATTTTACTCTGGGTAAACTAAGTAGACTAGAATCCTTTTTTTAAATGATCTTTGAATAACAGATGGAACCTTAAGTGGTTGGATAAACTTAGGCTATGTGGGTTTGTTATGCTAATTCTGATGGAATGATGGTGATGTATATAAAAGCAACTGTTAAACTAAGTTTTAAGAGCCCTTCATCTTTTTTAATCGTTTTATGGGGGGCTCTTACAGCTCTTGTTTTTTGTTGGTTGTTTTTTTTTTCACATTTGGGGAAATCGCAGGGGTCAGCACATCCGGAGTGCAATGGATCAGCCTCACCCTGGGAAAACCGCCTTAGTGATCATGGTATCTCTTACAGCTCTTAACACCATACATGCCTTCATTGTGCTAGCACATTTGTACATATGTGGCCATCATTTTCAAAACATTTTCTTTCTACTCGAGTCTTTGGTATCAGCTCGTTTTTTTCACCCTCCCCCACCCTCCCTCCCTCATGAACCCTTGATAATTTTTTTTTTCAAGTAGAAAGCAAATGTGGGTTTTTTTGTTTGTTTTTTGTTAATCAATTTATTGGGGCTCATACAGTTCATCACAATACATAGATCAATTGCGTAAAGCACATCTATACATTTGTTGCCCTCATTCCCAAAATTGAACCCTTGATACTTTATAAATTATTCTTTTTTTCATGACTTAACACCGACCACTGTCTCCTTTCACCCACTTTTCTGTTGTCTGTCCCCCAGGGAAGGGGTTATATGTAGATCAACCCCCTACTTTCCCCTTCCCCTCCTGGTACCACTACTCTCCTAAGAGCCCTTCATATTTTGGGATATTTAGTGGTTTCATTAACAGATCTTATGCTCCTTTTATTCTAATTTTATCATTGTTCACAAAATACTGCAGCACACTATTTGGGGTGTGGGGTGCATTTTCTAATGTGGTTTGCAGTTCATCTTTTTCTGGAATGTCTTTCTCTTTCTCTCCCTGACTCAACATTCATTCTGTCAGACATATTGGCCCAGTCCTGGTCTGTCAGGCAAACATCTCATGCAGAAAAAGGAGGTTGTCTACACCCTGAAAGATTTACAGCCTCAGAAATCCTGTAAAGGGTTGCTAAGAGTCGTCGGGATAGACTTCCTGGCCTTAGCTTTGGATTTTTTGGTTTGGTCTCTCCACTGGGTGACCCTCCTGGCAGGTCACTTCCTCCTTGAAGTTTCCCCTGTCAACCGTTTCCTCTGTAGTCCTGGTCCTTTATTATAGAGCCTCTCACATTAATTCACAATGATTTTTTTAGTGACTTGTTATCTCCTGTCAAACTGTAAGTTCCTGGAGACCCACCCACTGTAGCCTTATGTGGGGTTTTCCACATTGTCAATCTCTATAGGGGCACACAGCCTCCTGTCCTCAGCCAGTAGCCAAATCTCTCCAGTCCTCAGCTTCTCAGCCACATAGTCTTTTGGGCTCTGCCTCTGTGGGCTAGGAAGCCCACCTATTGTTCGGTCTTTTGGGCTCTGTCTCTGTGGGCTAGGAAGCCCACCTATTGTTCGGCCTCACGGTGCCATAGGCTAGGTGCTGCTCTCAGTTTGGACTCATGGTCTTGGCCTGGCTGCTTTGCTCTGTCCCATAGTCTTCATGCTGCCGCCTCTGGTCCCTCTTGTCTTGGCTCTTGCTACTTCAGACAGAGATTTCAAACAAGCTCCACTGGTGGCTCTCCTGATTGTCCTAAGACATTTTTTCAGCATGCAAGCTACTTATAAAATGATCAAGTCAAAATGATCTACCAACTACAAAAATGCAAAACGTGTATTTATTTTTATTCATTTATTACAGTTATTCATACATGCATTGAGAATTCTTTATATGTAATGTATGTTTATGTACCTTGCATGAGTCCATATTGCACAACACAGCACAATTAACTATGTATATTTTTTGTCATGACCTGAGTTTACTCTGATGACTTGCACTGAATGGGATGAGCCAGGGATGCATAGTCCGGGCAGTAGCTGCTGACAGCTAGCCTCAAGCACACTTCCAAATGACCATCAGTCATGGTGGAACGGTACTTGGACTTAATGATCTTTATGTGGGAAAAGGCTGACTCACATCAAGAAGTAGAGCCAAATAATGCAGTCAAAGAGGTAGCACATTGTCTCATGTTTGGAACTTTCCCTCTGCGAGTAAGTTCCAGGACTGTTCATGTGCTCTGGACTTCAGCTGAATGTTGGCTTGTAGTGTCAAAATCTCCCATCCCGTAAGAAAGTGATACGTTTTTTTTTCTTTCCCTCTTTTTATTTATTTATTTATTTATTAAATCAATTTATTGGGGCTCATACAATTCATCACAATACATAGATCAATTGTGTAGAGAACATCTATACATTTGTTGCCCTCATCATTCCCAAAATTTGCTTGCCTCTTGGGTTCCCAGAATCAGCTCATTTTCCTCCCCGCCCCCAAAGTGATACGTTTTTATCTTCTTACTTGGTCCAGCTGCCCCACTCATTTTAATACCCTTTCTTACATTTTAGAGAAAAAAGCCAAAGTCTAAAAACTGGCAATAACTTAGCTTGTCAGTTTTGCTGCACTTAGCGCAGTTGTTTGTGCTGCGTTTGACACCTACGATTGCATCTGATTGGCTGCACTGTATATCAGTTAAGTGACAGGATTGATGATAGCCTTACGTCTATTTTTTAAATGCGATCTACCCACACTGCATTTGCGATCGACTAGTAGATCACGATCGACATACTGAGCACCCCTGTCGTAAGATTTCTCTTCTCTTCAAGATGGCTCTTACACACAGTAGAATAGCTTGGCTGGAGGTGTGGTTTTTGCCTTTCAGCAGATCTACCCCCAAGCAAACAAAGGATGGTGACACGGTTCACACCCTCTATTAAAGTGCAAACTCAATCCTGTCCACTAGCATAGCAAGAAACTCCAGCCAAAATGGGAGGGAAGCCACAGGCCTGAATTTTGAATACATCACATAAGGGATTAAGGCTAGAAGGTCTGTATTAATTGACTATATCTTAACGACTTTCCATTTTCCCTTCGTTGTGGAAACCTGACCTCCAACTATAATTGTGGCAGTTAAATAATCTCCGGTCAACCTGAACAAAGGGGGGGAGTCTAGCCTGTCAATCAGGTTGCAGCTTGATGACCTCATATGGAGGTGCAATGGAAATAAATAGCTCACTGGAGGCCAGACTCCATCTCTTTCTGCCTTCCCTTTCCTGCTATTGAGACACTCAGAGAGCTGGAGGAGACACATGGAGACCTGTACCAACACTGAGATGCTTCCACAAGGCCTTCTACCCCCTGGCTTGTGATCTTCCTGCATTCAGCATCATTGCATGTGCTGTGTGAGTCTAAAGAGAAATTTATGGATTAGTATTGGTTCTATGGGCTAATTGATATTATGGATTTGATCCAGACTGGATTTGAACTTATGGACTTGATCTGGACTGGGCTGGGATGTTTTCTCAATATGCAATTGCTCTTTTATATAAAGCGCTTTCTTATACATATATGAGTGTCTATGAATTTGTTTCTCTAGTCAACCTGGACTAACACAATATTATACTCCTATGCTTA